TTTTTTCTTCAGGAAATGTGGAGTTGCCAGATGCAATGGAAATGGTATATCAGTCTGCCCTTGCATTAGGCAGACATGGTGCGGTGAGTATTATTATGTGTAGACATCGAAATTTTGATATTTTATAAATTAGTGTCTTTCTTTATTCTTGGACATAAATTCAAAATAAACAAGGAATATAATTAATATAATAATTTTTTCTTGCCCACAAATATAAATCATGAAGGACCTATCAATCTTCTTCTTTAAAACTCTCTTTTCTACACACCATAAATAGTGGTTCTTCCAAAGCCAAAAATCACCAATCTTAAGGCTATGCTTGGTAAACCTAGAAGATAAGCTAGCTTGTAGATTTAGTGAATTTTTGAGCTTATAATTCATAGTGACTTATAACTGAAAAACTAGGTGATAAGCTAGCTGAAATAAAAATTTTAATGAGTTTATTTGAAAAGCTACTCGATGAAGTTTATGAGATAAGCTCGAATTTTTTACAAAATCTCGTCCTACTAATCCAAGGTTATTTGAATACAAGAAACTTATAAGCTAATCAAATACCAAACACAACTTAAATCTCAAATCTCTAATTCAATAGTAGTACATAGCACATTTTGAACAAATAACATAAAATTTATTGTTACTGTATGACAATCGTGCAGAATATCCTCTATAAATTTTTACATATTCACGTACTAAGGGTGTGTTTGGATAGTTTAATGGTGTGTTTGGATACAAATAAACTCAATATATACTCGAAATCTAATTCAATTTTAATCAAACACCAGTATCCTCTATATTATCAATATAATTAAATAATACCAACCAGTCATTTTTACATATCGTATCAACTTTAATTCAATGTTCATCCACTCACATAATCATTCTTACACATCACATCAACTTTACTTTACTATTCATCCACTCACATAATTTTAACTAACTATATATTTCTCCTACTTTTACATCAAATTTTAATTATTTTATTTTAATATTATTTTAATATAAACTCAAAATCCCACTAACAACTACTCGTACAACCTTTTTTTTCAAATTAACGGTTAACCACAAAAACTCGTTTTCAACGGGTATATTTGTATCCAAGCACACCCTAATTCTTGTTTTTGTTACGGTCTTATTGATATTCCGAGAATCATCATGAACGAGAGTTTAGTTTCGTTTCAATTTGGATGATTTTTTGCAGGTGGATGAATACATGGGAGATATTGAGAGTGCCGTGCTCTTCTACTCGAAAGCATCATGTTTGCTAATGTTTCTCCTGGTAGAAGCACCGTGCCTCATTTTGAATCCGCCATTCTCATTGACAAACTCAGACCGTTATCGCATAAAGAATTACATCGATGTCCTCAACAACAGGCAAAGCGTTTCGAGGTCCCAAAGAGTGGCTGTTCTGAATGTGGAGAATCAGGCACACAATTTCTTAAACTGATGTAATAAAAGCTTAAACCGGTTCGAACCATGAATTTCATTTGTTTTTATTTCTATTTTTATTTTCAAATTTCGGCTTTCGATTTATTATTATTGTTTTGTTATTTGTGTATAGCTGCATGTATGTACAAAATTAGTATGTTAGTATTCTATTCTGGACTTGCATCATTGCATGTCAAGTTGTACAGGGGATGGTATCTTGAAACTTGAAAGCAAGTGAAAAAAAAAAAAAAAAAAAAGCTAGTGACACTTGAAATGTCTTGTTAGATTATTTGTGCTGAGTGAGTTTTAGTAAACATGATGTTACTTCTATTTTATACTCTCCTACAATTTACAAATGATTTAGATTGAATACAGTTATTTTGTATATAAGCTATTTTAGATTTGTTGGATAACGAGAGTTAATTTTGAAAAAGTTTATTGGGTTAGATTTGAGCAAAATTTTGAATTATATTAAAATAATATTTAAAATATAGTGATAAAAGTTGATTTGATGTAAAAAAAAAAGTTCGCTGAAAGTGATTTGTAGTTAAAATTATGTAAGTTGATGAATAATTAATTAAAGTTGATGCGATGTGCAACGACGATTGATTGATGTTATTTAATTATATTGATAATATTGATAAGTGTTGAGTTAGTTAGATTTTAAGTTAAGTTGGTCAAAATTGACTATTTCTTGTACCCAATCAGGCCTTTCATCATATATAGGAATTAAACTAGGAAATAACATTACTTTATTATAAAATGTAAAAATCATATTATATAGTTTTGTTAATGAACTTTACTTTATCTTAAATATTTGGTAAGTAACGATTTGATTCGAATTAATTTTTTTCTCATACCTAAAAGAATTTCAAAAAACGAGCTTCTTTAGACACTAAGTTGTGAAATTAGTTGTTTTTAACATTAAATAGTTAATTATTTATCAATTTGCATAATCAACTAATCCGAATTACCTAATCAAAATGAATGCTAGTTCAATCATTGATCCCGCATTCTCGCTAATAGCTAATCGCTAATTACCTAACGTCACCACTATTTTGCATTTTATTATTGAAAAAGAAAAAACAAAGTAAAAAATAGTAAGCTAAATTTGTCAAAGAAAAAAAAAAATAAACAATAAAATAAAGGGAAAAAAAATCAAAATTAAACCCTACTACTCTATACACGTGCGAGAAGGTCCCCACGTGCGGAGAAAAATCTAACTTTTAGGCTATCGAGTCGCCACTTTGAACCAGTTATTCTCACACTCGTTCAGCTTCACTGAACTGCACCCAAACGACGTCGTTTGATGTGATCCGCCATTTCAGTTTTTCCATACACACAAGAAGAATAAAGCCACCATCAAAGCCAGGTACAGTTTAAGCACAGTCAGGTGTGATTTTTTTCACCTCAAAGTTTTGTTCTTTTTTCTAATCCCATTTCAATCTTCTTGTTTTTTCAGCTGCACGAGCTAGAAGTTGTTCTTGGGTTTTTGTAAAATTTGTCGAACTTTCGTGAATCCGTGTGTTTACCATCAATGACGGGTTGTTCATCAAGTATTAGAATGGCCCACCTCAAGAATGTTTCAAACGGCGGCGTACTTTCCAGGTGTTTTCCCTCCAAGAGTCTGATCGACTCTAAATTCCAATATTCTGGGTTTAACAAAACTAGAAGAAGTTTGCATTTGGTTTGCGAGATTAAAAGGCCGAGACTTGTAGTTGTTAATGCCGTTAATCCTGAGGCCGAGCCTCAATCGAGCGTGGTTGTGACCGCCGTTTCCCAACGAGGAGACAGTGTTTGTTTAAAAAAAGATGCTGAGATTATCGAAAAAAACTACATTTCGGTACCTGATATCGATAATGGTGGTGGCATTAATGGCGGAAATGGAAAATTTTCCGGCGGTGGAGGTGGCGGCGGGGATGATAGTGAGGATAATTACGAAGAAAATGAATTTGGACCGATTCTGAAGTTTGATGAGGTGATTAGGGAGAGCGAGGCTCGTGGGGCGAGCCTTCCAGCTGACATGTTGGAAGCTGCTAAAACAGTTGGTTTAAGGAAAGTGCTTTTGCTTAGATATTTGGATTTGCAGGTGAATGAATAATATCTGTTGTTGATGAATGCTACTTGAGAAAGTGATAACTTTTATCGTTTATGCAGTTTTGGTTTTAAAAAAATTGTTTGATGGTTTTAGGGTTCAGTTTGGCCCCTCGGGTTCCTGATGAGGTCGTGTGCTATGCTTCGAAACAGGATGCTTGCTGACCCGTCTTTTCTTTTCAAGATTGGCACAGAGGTTTATAAAGCTCGTTTTCTTGTACACACACATCAGCTCATTTTGTCAGTAGATGAACTGATAAGTGATTTTGATGTTGTTTGGATATATACTGATACATTTAGTGTAAATTTTACGGAGCCTGAAAAGTGAAAGTAGTCTTTTGCAAGTTCTTGGAAAATCTTTTTTTTTTCTTTTTTTTTTTGTTGGTTGAAATTTATATAGTGTTTTGTTTTCTTTTATAGATAGTTATCGATTCTTGTTGTGCCACGTTTGCGGAAGTTAGAAAGAGGGGAAAGGACTTCTGGGCTGAGTTCGAGTTATATACAGCCGATCTTCTTGTTGGTGTGGTAGTAAATGTGGCTTTAGTTGGTATGCTTGCTCCATATGCCCGAATCGGCCAACCTTCTTCTTCTCAAGGATTGTTTGGTCGTATGCTGAGAGCTTATGGGGCGCTGCCTAGCAGGCATGTTCTTCTTATACCGACATCTTACCCTGTTAAATTTTCTTTATTTTTTTTTGGTTCGGCTAAGTTTTTAGTTGTGCCTTGTACTGATTTGTGATGCAGTGTATTCGAAGCAGAAAGGCCGGGGTCTCGATTTTCAGTGAATCAAAGAATTGCTACGTATTTTTATAAGGTAAATAGCTAATATTTGCATTGTGGTCGTATGACTCATCTTATGGAAACATGGTCTATGTTTTGTAAAACTTGTTTGATAAGCTAGCTTACAGCTCATATGTGATTTTTGAGCTTATGACTTATAGCTGAAAAACTAGCATAAAAGTGGTAAAATTAGCAAATAAGTTAGTTAAAATATAAATTTCAACGAGCTTATTTGAAAAGCTACCAAAGAAGCTTATGAGATAAGTTCGAACTTCTTTAAAAAAATGGTTCTACCAAACGAAGCTTATTTGAATACAAAAAGTTTATAAGCTAACCAAATAAGCTAGCTTATAGCTTATTTGGTTACCAAACATATAGCCAAGATTTATCTTCTTCTTTACACTCTAGTTAAAAAGCTCCACTCTGTTCTGCATTGACTCTTATCTTTACTTGGCATAATCGGCATGGACTTCAGGGCATTCTATATGGACTGGTCGGTTTTGGCTGTGGTATTATCGGTCAAGGAATTGCGAACCTAATAATGACAGCCAAAAGGTAGGGTTCGTTGAATCTTTTATTTCGCATAGAGACCCAAAAATTAAAGTTGAATCCAAATCTTTCGTTCTTCTTTTATTTCAAATTAGAATCTTATCTGAATAATGCATATCTATCGAAGAGAGGTTTACTCCATGTTCACCTGTACTTATACCTTGTGACATTTTTAATGTGTATTGAATTTATAAATATAAAAATTTGAACGTTTTTTTGCCATGAATGCATTTTCTTTTTTATCTCAGGAACATAAAAAAATCCGAGGACGATATTCCAGTTCCTCCCCTTATAAAGAGTGCAGCTCTTTGGGGTACTATACCTTTTCTTCACTACCATTTTTGTCTTACTCACGGTTTACACTTTTTTTTTTTT